GCCATTTGCTAAAGATATCTTTGGAGAAAAGGAAGCACTCAAACCTTTCAAGCCAATTCCTAGAGACCAAAAATGCCAAAGTGGCAACTTACCATGGTCAAGTAACAGATGGTGTTGGACTCACAGGGGCCCAGGTTGTCAGTAGATCTAGCCTATGATTATTTCCCTAGTCCCTTAATGTGCTATTGGAATAGACATACTGGATTACTGTCAGGACTTGATATTTAAGGACCATGTGATGGAGACATAATTGGGTGACCTTAGGTTGCCCCTCCTTCTAAGATAGTAAATCAGAAAGAATAACATAGCCCTGAGGAACTTGTTGAGATTGATGTTACACTGGGTTTTTAAAAGATGATTTACGCTTTCTGTCATATCCCCATTTAGCCTATTTGGCTTATGTAAAAGTTGGATGGGTCTTCGAAAATGACTATGGTGTATCTTAATCATTGAGTGACTCCAAATGTAGCTACTGATATAGATGTATTCTCTTTATCCAATCACAGAGTGCTGGCACTTGGTATATAGGCATTGATTCAGTTAATGACCTTTTTCTCCATGCCAGACAAGTGCTATGTGACTTTTCCTGGGGAGACATGAACAAGTATCTATTTATCCCAGATAAGGAAGCAGTGACAGACCAAAGGAACAGTTCTGCTCACGTCTAGCTTAGTGATCCAGTGACTGAATTACCCGAATTACCCAAAGTTACTGAAAAGATCCCCCAGCATGGGTGATGACTTTTAAAAGCTGTATCCCTGAAGCTTTCTGCATAGCTTGCAGGCAGCATTGCCGATTGAAGAGTCAGTCCCCTCTTCTGGCAATTTCTTACTGCTTTTATTTTTTAAATTACATTTATTTATTGTGTGTGTGTGTGTGTGTGTGTGTGTGTGTGTGTCTGTGTGTGTGTGTACACACATATGTGCTCAAGTACCCATGTGGAGGTCAGAGGACAACTTGTGGGAGTTGGTTCTTTCCTCCTATCATGTGGGTCCAATGGATTGAACTCAGGTTGTCAGTTTTGGTGGCAGGTGCCTTTTCCTGGGTCTTAGAAAGATACCCAATGGCCTGCTTACTGCTTTTGTAACTGTGAGAAGAAATCTTGTGAATCTTATAAGTTTCAGGAGCTGTCTAAGCCTTATAAGTTGTATGAGCCTTCTGAGCCTCGTGAGCTTTGCTTCCTGACTCTTAAGAGTTCACTTCTTCCCTTTAGGAGGGAGTCTTTAAATTCAGGGAAAATTGCCACCCAACAACGAGGACCACTAAAAGCCCATTGTATACCTTCACAGTTTTACCTGAGGGCTGGGTTAGCTCATCTGTCCTAAATTAGCCTCTTAGTCATCCCAGAATCTCACAAATCATCACACTGATGTCATGATATGTCTGGTATAGCAAGTACCTTAGATATCTAGTGATGCACATGAGAGCTAGAGGATAATAGACCATCTCCACAAAACTTCCACGTAACAGCTGTCTACTGCCATCTCCATGTATTAAGTGATCATTACATTTGCTAGGCCTCTCATGAATTTTGGAGGCATATGCCACATTTGAATATGCTACTTCAGCCTACCACAGAGTAACTTGTTCCGCTGTCAGTTTTGAATGATGGCTAGAGCCAAATAAGGCCAGGCAAGTCCAGGGAGTGATAAGTTCTGCCATCCTGGCTTCTGAATCTAACGATTTTCTTAGAGTTTGTGACAAAGAAGGCTATTCTATGGAAGCTCTTGAAAGCATTAATATCATCATCACAGCTCTCTAGGATTTTGATGTAAATATACTCCATGTTCAAATAAGTATTTACTCTTTGATTAAACCACTCTGGCTTGCTACTAGGTAAATCCTGAATGCATAATCATAGGCTCTCAAGTTACCATGTGGATCACACTTCCTATCAACTGTATAGTTGGACCTACATAGTTGTAGGTTAGCCATGGAAAGTGGAAACCTACCTTAGGTGGAAATGGTATGTAAATCTGAATCTGTTGGGATCTGGAACTGCATGTCAGTTCATGAATAAGAGCCTTCAGTACCCTTACATGAGGCTGGCCCTTCAACACCAACTCCCATTGCTTTTGGGCCTATGGCAAGGTGGCACACGGGGGCAATGTGTGCAAATCCATTCACTGCTTGTATGGAATGAAAAAAGGTAGAAAGAAGTGACTGGGTGCCAGCATGCCCACAGTGACTGTGAGACGTCCCATTAGGCTCCACTTGGCATTCCACCTCTGAATAGTGCCATGGTGTGTGTGTGTGTGTGTGTGTGTGTGTGTGTGTGTGTGTGTGTGTAGAGGGGGTAAGCCTTTAACATAGGACTCTTTGAGAGACATTTTTCCAAACCACAACACGTTGTCTCCTGTAGCCCATGCCTGTGACTACTTGGGAGCTTTCCTTAGCTCAAATGATAGAGGAAGAAGAAAACTGAAGCCTGATTTACAGGCTGATGAGTTTGCACAGTATCCTGGTAGCATCAAAAGAAGACAGTTACAGAATTCGGCCCTGCCCACTGACAGATGTAAAGATTGCTAAAGAAAGCATATACTTTGTATATGTACAGTGCTAAACCCTATCAGTAAAGTGCTTCAATCACACTGAGGGTAACAGAGACTTCTGGTGTCGGGGCTGCCCACTGACCAGGCTCTTTCTAAGGACACTTCCTCCAGTGCTCAACTTTCTCCAGTATGAAATCCCTATAAGGAAAGCTGTCCTAGAGTTGGTACCATCTCCTCACCCTAGCCCTGCCCCATACTTTCTGCAGGGCTTGACTTACACAGTAGGGGTGTGGCCTCCCAGCTCAAGTCACTGCTCCCCAAACTCTTCACCAGACTCACATAGTATACATGGGAGGTCCCACGGGATTGGGTATCTGCACAGCCAGCTGCCTACCCTCCATCCTAGGCTGCCAGCCCAGTGCTGTCCTCACCTTAGGTGCACATGAAAAGTGTACTTGACTCCTGTTGAAAGTGGTCTTTTGGCCTCCAGAAGCCAGCACAGTCTGTCAGCAAGTAGCTATTCCTGGGAATCCATGCCTCTGTGAATAGCCTCTTCTGGGACTCCTGAGGGCAGATTTCTGGCAAGTCCCACAACTCTTCTTTTGTTAATTCCATAACTTAACCCATCCATCTCCCAGTCTTCCCTTTCTCACACCCAGTGCTATTGAATAATTCCATTTCCTGCACATTCCTTTCCATCACTTTAGTGCCTCTTTTCAGTATAACCTTTACTGGGGCTGATTTTCTAAATGGAACACTGAGTATGCCTCCCCCTCCCCATAAAATCATCAATGCTTAAAAAAGAAGAGGAGAAAAGGTAAACTGACAGTCTCTGGAGTATGTGCAGGCTTGTCCTGACCTGGTCTCTGGCCTCCCAGTCCCTCAGCTGTCCCCCACCCGCACTCCGCCTCTGCCACACACAGGGCCAGCCATGTCTTTTCTTCTAAGCCTTTGTTCTGCTGTTCCATCTCTCACCATTCGCCTGTCCACTTGCCTAAAAGTCACTTATCTTTCAAGATTCTGCTTGTGGGAGCTTTCCATAACATGTCTGCACTCCGTGTTGTCTCCAGTCACAGCACATGCAACTCTGCTTTGCCTGCATACTACCCTCCCAGCCTCTTTTCTTGAAAGTAAGGGTGCCTTAAATGTTGTGACCATAGACTAGCACAAAATTTGACACATAGAAAATATACACTAAGTTTTTTAAAAAGGTAAAACTTAACAGGTCACTTTATTTTTATATGAAGTTCTTAAAGCAACAAAAGTACAAAAATACTAAAATCTCACATTCATGCACAATAGACATCATAACTGAGGCATCTTTGGGGGCCAAAGTGAAAGAATACAGAACAGTCCAATCAGAACTAGTACAAGAGCTAAGTTCTGCCCATTTTGTTTATTCAGCTTATAGTTTACTGCCAGAGACTAAAGAACCCATCTTAGAACTTGTTCTTCTTATTTTCAATTTCATGATACTAGGAAAAAAAAAAGGTTGAATAAAATGTCGGAGTTAGTGTTCACTGTTATAAATGTCATTTTCTAGACTTTAGGGACAGCAGGCATTGTCCCTTTCCTTGCCCCTCCTACTTACTTGGCTGTAATAGTGCATGGCCTGCAGTCAGATCTGCTGAAGTCATGTTACGTATTTTAAGGCATCATGAAGAACATCAGCCTTACTCTGATTCAGGCTGTCATTGATGTCTCTTCACTCACATTGATTCTAATAAACTTGGTGCTCCGTTCTCAGGCTCAATTGCAAACAGTATTTCATCAAACCAACTTCTGCCCTTTGAACCCTGGAGGCTCGGGGACACCTCGAAGAAAGCTAATGCATTTTCTTTCTGCTATTAGACTTCGGGTTTGTGGAAGCTATTGACAGAGCTGCTCAGTAGCAGTGGACTTGATTCTCTCGATCTTCTGACTGTAGTGGTTTTGTCATGCTTCAGACTATCATGCAAGCAAATCTGGAAGCATGCCAGCTGATATATTCGTGAAGCTGCTTTATCATATTGGTTAGCTGCAACAGTCGTTCACTGCTTAAAAGCAAACTGCATAAAAGGTCACTGTAGGCAGATGCTTGGCAGTGCATGTTAGTATACCTTTCCTGTCAATTGACCCTGTGTATAACCTACTTAATGGAGTCCATTTACTCCTTGGTTATCATGTCAACATATTCTTTTTTAAAAACTGAAAACATATTTGTACAAAAGAACTTCATGCATATCATATAGTAGTTATTAACAAAATTAAGAAAAGTGTGTGTGTGTGTGTGTGTGTGTGTGTGTGTGTGTCCCCTGCAAGAAAGTCTTATTCTTTTGCAGGTCCAGTAATCATAGTCGATTATCACAATCATTTTTCATCTAAAATATAATTTTCTTGAGGGCAAAACATCTGTGTATTCTTGTTAACAATAAGAATGCATTACGTTCAGTTGTTGGTTGAATGAATGGATTGTACCATGCCTGTAGGAATGAACAGGTGCTAATACCATCTATCATTTGTTTGTAGGTATTACTATTTAATGACACCATCTTGCCAGCAAATCTATGATAAAAAGTATAAGTAACAAAGGAAATCACAACTGTTATTTGTCAAGTAACAAGCATTTAATGACAGAATGGCTCACCTAAAGCGACTAGTAAAATTGCACATTAAAAGACATTACCATAAAAAGTTCTGGAAGCTTGGTACAGTAATCTTTTTCTTTTTAGTCGTTTTGATTTTAATGCAAAGAGAAGTGAGTGTCCAATATTCCAATGAAGAATCAAAAATGGAAAAGAGCATGAAAAACAAAAACAAAATGTTTGATTTAATGCTGGAAGCTGTAAACAATATTAAAGATGCAATGCCAAAAATGCAAATAGGAGCACCTGTCAGGCAGAACATTGATGTCCATGAGAGACCCTGTTTGCAAGGGTACTACACAGCAGCGGAATTAAAACCCGTTCTTGACCGCCCACCTCAGGATTCAAATGCACCTGGTGCTTCTGGCAAGCCGTTCAAGACCTCCAACTTGAGCATAGAAGAGCAAAAAGAGAAAGAACGCGGGGAAACAAAACACTGTTTCAATGCTTTTGCAAGTGATAGGATTTCTTTACACCGCGATCTAGGACCTGACACTCGACCACCCGAGTATGTTGAAGAATGTTCATTTACCGTTTATTGGCAGGGTTTTCAAGGAGCATCCATTAACTAAAGGATTTACTCATTCTTTAGCCACAGTGAAGCAGAAAATCATCAAATGCTGTCCATTTAATGTTTGTTTGATTTTTGTTTATAATTATTGAGGCTAAGCATTCATAGCTGTACTTGACTTGGCAGGTAGAAGCATGAGATGTTATCTTGTAAATTAGAAAACTGACTTCTAGATCTGACATGTACACAGAAGGAAAGTCTTTATTCACAAATGCCACAGTTTCCTCATCTATTAGGAAATTTTGGACAGGTTTTATAGAAAATGTAAGAGGTTAGTTCTCTGATATACTATAGAATAGAAATGTTTTCTAAAGTGTGGCAAGGTTTTGGAGCTATTAGGTAAGGTAGTTTTTTGGTTTATAAATATGTCACATGATTTGTGACCACTGTCAGTGCATACTTATATTTCAGAGTGCCTTGCATTTTGTATGCTTCAAGGGACAATTGTTCTAATTGTTCCACTTTTCAGAATTGTTCCACTTTTCAGAATTGTTCCACTTTTTCAGGAGCTTTATTAAGTTCTTATATAGAGTTACCTCCCTTAAACTACAAAGAAGCCAATATTACTTGTTATTAATTCATTTTATTTAGGTGCTTTTCTCAATTATATACTCTTGAATATTTGCCAATTATATTTCTCAATTATATAGACTTTTCAGGTTTTTTTCTCTGCATCCTTAGTTAACTATTTTGTTCCCTGTAAGGTGCTGTTCAAATGTTGTATTTGAATTGCAAGGGGTGAAATGAATTCTAGCACCCTCAAGTCATCAGTAGAGATTTGAAAGTTCAAGACAGGCAAAAATAATGAACCAATGCCTTCATATTTTGTTTCCTGGTTCTGACAGATATATTTGAGAGTGACTCTAAAGAAAAAGAGCTTTGTGCACACTGGTTCATTGTTTTACTCAGGTTTTCCCAGATTTATGTGTGAACACCTACTCCAAGTACACAGATCCCTTAATGTTGGAAGTTGTATAGGTTGGATTTCTGTAACTCTACTCTAATTCTGTGTAATCCATCATCGTAAGTTGCCCATAATTTTAAAGTAAATGTATGAAAAAAAAGGATGCCTAGAAAAATGCTCTAGTGTTACGGAGGTCCTGCCTTTCTTGTATCAACAGATTCAAATGTTGTATTTATATTTTACTAATGTTGGGAGGATTTTTGATTAAAAAGCAATCCACATAAAGACTCATTGATCATAATGTTTTTTTTTTTTTTTGAGACAGGGTCTCACTCTGTAGCCCTGGTTGGCCTGGAACTGACTATATAGAGCAGGCTAACCTCAAACTCATAGAGATCTGCAGGCTTCTTCCTCCCCAATGCTTTGATTAAAAGCACGGGCCACCACGCCTGCCATCATTACGCATTTTTTTGTTCATTGAAGTGTCAGTTACTATCAGTTTAAGATAATCATTTTAATTCCAACATTCACAAGCTATGATAATGTTTGATAACTTTAATTACTGAGCAAGTAAAAAATCAGCTAAGCACATTAACAGCAGTGTTTGGTTGGAATTGGAGATCTACTAATTTGCTGGTTTCTGAGCAAGGTTTTATAGAGGTGCTGAAGAACTGCAGATCTTTTTCTAGAGTGATGAGTCACATTAGTCTAGTTTCTCTGAAAGCTAGGTGACTGTGTGTCTGATCATTTATTACATGCCAACTTTTACAAATAGCCTGACAGTAAATATAGGTGCACTGTGACAGGTTATTTTAATTGTGCTGTTTTAAATGATGTGAAATGGGTTTTATAGCATAAATTTACCATGTAAAATGGATGGAGTTTATAAAGTTATGCTGGGAAATTTTATTACTTACATTAATAATATAACTGAACTTTTACTCTGACTCCCTCACCATCTTTTTTCTTTATCTTTTGTTTTTTTAATTTTTTTGAAACAAGGTCTCACTGTGTATCCTTGACTAGCTTAGAACTTGCTGTGCAGACCAGCCTGGCCTTGAACTCACAGAGCTCCACCTGCCTCTGCATCCTGAGTGCTGGGATGAAAGGGGTGTACCACTACACCTGGCTTCACTCTAGCATTTTAGATTAGAAGTTGTCAGTTAAGCAAATAAATCTCAGTTTAAATTGAGCAAAAGCCTTGCATGATTAAATTGATAACATTTTACTAGTGTTTGTACAGTTTTGTAGTTTTCATCTTTAAGATTTTATAGTTCTTGACTAATATTATATAGTTATTTAATATTAATTGGCTATGTGGCAAGTAAAGGTAGGTTTAAAAAAAATAGGCCCCAAATTCTATTCTTTCCCTAAAATGCAAGACAGTAAGTTCTGAGGTGGTGGTGGTACCTCATCTTCTTCTTTTGAAAAACAAGAAAATATTATACCATAGAATTTTTCAGAATTTTCTTTAGAGTTTATGTTGGTTTATAAACCTTTATGTATTAAAATATGAGCTTATATTTAGTAATTTATTTCTGTGTCATTGTGGTTCGAGTGCATATGTAAATAGCTTATTTGAGTTTTATTTTTACTTGATAGTGTATCCAGAATTCAGTTTACAAAAAGTAATTTGCTTTAATTCTACAAAGCAAGAAGCTTCTGAGGCTGAGTGGCTCAGTGGTAGAGCACTTGCCTCCCATGCAGAAGGGCCTGGCCTCAGTTCCCAGAATGATTAAAACAAAGGAAAATAAAGCGGTCGGCTATTCCAATAGAGACTCCAAAAACAATGCAAAATGAGAGGAGTGCAGTGTTCGCTTCTCATGGTGCAGTTCTGGTAACTTTGAAATTCTGAAGGCACTAGAGAGCAAAAGCACTCAGAACCCCGCTACCATTTCCTCCCCAACTTTGCTGACACCCCGTCTTCATAGCTCCCTCCAATCTAATTCTTTTTTTATGCTATAAACATTCCACCATATGGACCTGCTTTTAGTAAAGGATGCCAAACACATTTCCATTAAGGTAACTTGTAGATTTTGTTTTTTTCTTTTAGGCCCAACTATCACACTGGAGGCTATCCATTGGCCTTACAAAACAACCAGCATATGTTGGGTCTTAATCTTTACAAGTGAATGATTTACTTCTTATCTCTGAATTTGAGCAGTGATGTTTGGTGTTCTCATACTGCATTTATAGTGTGGGAGGAGCTGACCATGTATGAGGATTATATAGTCTGCTGCCCCAAATTATACAGTCATTTATGGCATTGAGTGACTTTATACATACAGTTGCCTTGTTAACTAATTTTTTCACAGACCTCACATGGTTTATTTTATGCCCCAGTGTTTTAAAGCCCTCACTCTGTCCTTATCTCAACTCTTTAGGCTAATGACTGTGATCAACTTGACATCTCCAGTCTTAAGAACTGGAGACTGTACTGAACCACCTTTACCTACTGCCCTAATATAAATGGTTTTCTTTGAGAAAGACAGTGTTATAAAAATGAATTTGATCCCAATTTGTAACTAATGTTTTTAGGTAATTGGTAATACTGCTAATCAGTCAAGGCCACTTAGTTCTTGACCTATGTACATTCATGTGGAGATATAGAGGCACAAACTGTTTAACAATGATGTAGGTCTTTAAATTTCTAAATGTGGGGGCTGGAGAGATGGTGCAGCAGTTAAAAACACTGGCTGCTCTTGCAGAGGATCTGAGTTTGATTCCCAGTACCCACATGGTTGCTGATAACCATCTGTAATTCTAATTCTAGGGGCTCCAACACCCTTTTCTGACCTCCCTGGGCATTGCACAACATGGGTGCACTTACAGATGTGCAGGCAATACATTTACACACATAAAATAAAAAATAGCTTAAATTAAAAAAATTTTTTAAATATGTCCTGTTTGAAAAAGCATCACAATGATGGATTTGGGGGGGGGGGGCCTCTTTTGAGACCAGGTCTCTCTGTAGCTCCAGCTGGCCTGGAACTCTGGAACTCACAGAGATAGATCTGCCTCTACCTCCCAAGTGCTGGGATTAAAGGTATGCACCACTACACCCGGCAAAATGATATATCAGTTAAAACAGTGGAGCATGTATCAGAGCAAAGTCTTTAAAGCAGGTGAAAATGGTGCTAAGTATCTTCTAATGATTTTAAGGACTTGTGTTTATGGTTAGCTGTTTTTCCATTTTGATTCCATATGTAAATTAAATATTAAATTAACTTTGAAATACTTAGGAAACAGATACTTACAAACATAGCTCATTTAAAATAATTTCTACAAAAGTGAGTATTCAATTAACGAGGTTAGGCAATTTATGTCACAAATTAGAAAAACGGGTGACTTATGCAAGAAAATATTTTGTGTTTTATTTGAACAGTTGTTAGAATTTTTCTTTTTGCACATTTCACTTAGCGATTATATTTTATTTTAAAATGTTATTTGTTTCTAAAATTAGACACTTGAGAAAACTTTTACCCATTATAAACCATGCCAGTGAACATGATCTAGGATGAATGATCTCTTTGTAAAACTTTGTTTTGATCTATTTACATTTATAGGCCATTCAGATTATGTCCTAGGAAGAAACCTGTCTGCTGTCCTCTTTGCTGATAATGATGAAGCAGTGATATTTTTAGCAATTTATAATTTTATAATGTAAAAATGTAGAATGTGTAGAAATGGTTTAGCAATGTGAAATAAAATAATGGAGGTCATAATTGTTCTACTCTTTTGACTTCTAGATGTATTGAGCAAAAATTTAAGCGCTGCCCTCCCCTGCCTACCACCAGTGTCATAATAGTCTTTCATAATGAAGCGTGGTCCACGCTGCTTAGAACTGTCCACAGCGTGCTCTATTCTTCACCTGCAATACTGCTGAAGGAAATCATTTTGGTGGATGATGCTAGTGCAGATGGTAAGAAAGCACATGCATATCAATAAACCCAAGTGCTGTCCAAAATTTGCCTGGTTACCCTGTGCTCTGTGTGTGCTGTCTCAGAACCTGAAGTTTGGATGGTGTGCATATGACCACTGAAAGGAGATCCTCAGATGCCAGATTTGAATGTTTTGGATTGTGGGGTGTTATGAAACACCATTATTCATAGCCATAGTCTGGATGTAGACCTTTCATTCTAGAGCATAGTGGTTAAGAGTACATATGTGACAAGTAAAGCTCCCTGGGCTTGAATCCTAGCTCTGGTCCTTCTGCCATGTGAACATGACAAGTTACTTAACTCTTCCGCTTCAGTTTCTTTATTGATAAAATGGGGATAACATATTGTATCAAGTTTAAATTTTGCCATTAGTTTATAAAGCACTAAAAAAAACTATAGCCAAATAAATTGATATGCTGTTGATTATAGGAAGTGTCTCATCACATAAGTTAGAATTAAGGAGACACAGAAATAATGCATACCTCTGAGGTTGTTTTAAAAAATGAAGGAGCTAATATAAATATCATTATTTATAAGTAATATAAATAATTAATGTTACAGACTGACCACATTCTGTTTATTTGGGCATTTTTTTTCCTGTTGGAGTGCTGAGGCTCTAATGCAAGGCCTCAGGTAAAGCAGCCAATTGCTACACTACTGAGATATCTCCCCTGACCTTATATTTAAAAATATATATATATTTCAGTAATATTTTCAAAATTAGGAATGTTCTTTAGACCTCTATTTCTACTTAAAATTATAAATCAGATACTAAGTTGCATACTTTAATTTCTAATTTTTCAAAATTATAGATATTTTAAGTATGAAAAAACTTACCTCAGTGATTACAAAATTTACTCAGGTTTGGAGTCAGAGTCTCAAAGGCTTAACCACAACTCAAGCACTCAGTTGTTTCTTCATTTGTAAAATGGGGACAACATACTCATCAAATCCAGAGTGCTGTTAGGTACGCCATTATTTTATGTAGATGAGAAAGGAAATTAGAAGGTGCCTATTAGGCACCATTCCATCGATTACAAGATATATCTGTATTCCAGACATAGTAATAAGTGAATATGAAGTGAAACTATTAACCTGTTTTTTTCTTCATATCTATGTATAATTCTAAATATTTCCATGGTTTCATACTTAAACATTGTGAGTAAAGTGAGGTACTCAATATAGATAAATATTGAGGCAGGAAAAAGTTGTTTGAGTCCAGAGATTTTTGGGACATTTGAGACCTATTTTCCAAGTGGGGAAGTTTTGTTAATGCAGGTCTTCTGGAGTCAAGTTATACACCATAGTTAGGTGTGGTGCTATAGGCCTACAATCCCAGCACTGGAGAGGCTGAAGCCTAGGCCTATAGTAAGACCCCCACAAAACAAGCAAACAAATAGATAAAAGCAGAAAGGAAGAGAAGAAGGGAGAGGAAATCAAGTTACACACTGCACAGGTCTTTGATTTGAAATTCTAAATATCCTTTCCTATCACCACCACTTAATTGTAATCGACTGGTTCATTTGCTGTTTCATCTGGTCGTATTGTTGCTCTTTCAAGTTCAACTGCAGCCAATGATGATGCTTGATTAAGATCGTCATTCCATACATGTTTACCTGAAAAACAACCACTAAATTCTGGAAATCTAATCTTTGGTTTCTTGAGTGTCTTTTCACAGTCAATTCTTATTTTTCTTGATTTTCCAAGTAGTGAGACAATAAGGATGCAGTAAGTTTGCTTCTAATGAGCATTCAGTTGGAAGTTCCATCTTTATCTAAGAGCACAAACCAAAGTATTGAAGTAAAGGACATCTGAATGAAAAAAGATGCCCATTCAGAGTCTTCCTGTATTAACCATTTTAGTTATTTTCTCATTTTCTTCCCCAATCACTGTCTAAGCATATTTACATAATTACCATTCTAAAATTAATATTTTCACACAAAACTACAGCCCCCTTTTTGCCTTCAAAGAAAATTGTTTAATGATAAACTAGACATACCTCCTTAACCATTCATTCTGCCTTTTCCCCAGAATGTGTCGTACAGCAAAGAATGCCATCCTTGGCATGGGTCACTCTGCTTACTTTCCACCTCACCCGTGAAGGAGGTCTACTTGCTCAACGATCTGCTTGTTTTTGCAGTATTTATAGCACTTGACAATAAATTTGAGTGGGTTTCTTGGCAAAAGTAATGTTTGTGCACTAGTGTAATTAGCCTCATTGAATCAACTGAGTTACCCAGTGAGTACTCCTGTGGAATATATGGCTCTCTTTGCAATAAAGGAGCCAGTGGAAAGCCAGTGGTTGGTAGTGCAGATCTGGGATCCAGGACTCAAAAGCTGAGGCAAGACGATTATGAATTCATAGCTAGCCTAGGCTATACAGTACACACACACACACACACACACTCTCTCTCTCTCTCTCTCTCTCTCTCACACACACACACACACACACACACACACACACACACTCCTTTGTGAAGTAGAGACTAGTCCCAAATTCACAGTTTTACAGAAAAGCAGCCTGAAGCTGTGGATATTAAGTTACTGATAAGATAGTGAAATCCCAGAGATAAAAGAAACAAAGGTAATGTTTTCACAGTAGGGCCTTGTGGTAAAGCCCTGTTTTAATGTTGTTTGTTCAGCAATGTCTTATCCTATCCTCCCAGTAGTCACCCGAGCTGCTAAATCTTAGTATCCCCACCTTATAGATAAGGAATCTAAGGTACAGAAAAGATTTAAAATAATTTAGCCAAGGTCAAACAGCTTAAAATTAATGCTGCTTTAACCCAGGACTTCTGATTGGATGTAATTTTGTGTGCTGCTTCTCTAAAAAATAAATGTAGTTTGGAGTGAATTTCAGGGACAAATAAGAATTTGAATACATTTCAAAGTTTAGTAAATTTAAGCAATAAGGTTTATTGAAGGGACCTATAGTAGCTCTATTAAATAAATCCCTGTGGATATCTTTGAAATTTTACAAATCACTTAAAATTGCTTAGGAATTTACTTATCTACACATTACAATCTTACATGTATTTAAAAGGCTAATTCTGAGATATTTGCAAGTTAGGATTTTAAGTCAATAGTGAAGTGTTCAGATGTGTTTTTCCATGAGTGTGGCTCCTGGAATCTTCCTCCCCTTGTGAGTGCTTTAAATCACCATTCTCACGTGCATCGTGGAGGAACTGGAGAACACCCGTGTTACTCTACAGAGTGGCAAGCTCATGCACTTGTCTTTGAAATATGGCAGAAGCAAACATACATCCTCATGATGTTATTGACTTTCCCCATATTTCCATATGTATTCGAGGTTGTGCTCTGGGGCTAAGGAGGCCACTTGAACTTCACTATTCACATAACAAGAATTCAAGAATGCAATGGCAAGCTAATTGTGTTGGTATAAGCCTATAATCCCATTACTCTGGAAACAGGCTGGATAACTATATATTCCAGACCAGCGTGGGCTATATAGACAATCATGTGTGAAAAAAGCAACAAAACAAAACATCACAACAAAAAGAATTTCATGGAAAAAGTAGCGCTAAGAATGTTTAAAAATATGAGCAGCACTTGATTGATAGCAGCTTTCTATCACCTGTCACACTTCTGTTCATCATGTTTCTCATCTAAACTTAAATATGGAATATCCTGTTAGGTGCAATTCCTATGACCTTGTCTGTTTTTAACTGCCTGATTTACTTGTTTCTTTTTACTTTTATGTCCCCAAACTCCTGTAGCCCTGGATACCTACTAATTGCCTTTTTCTCAACATTCGGATATTAAATTATTGTGATCACTGCCTAACTATCAGAGAACTCTTGATAGTTTGCATTTCTTGTCCATTATGATTTCCAACCTTAAGGACCAATTTAAAAGTGGCTGAATATTTTCTTTACTAGACCCTCATCTGAGCTGTCTAAACTCCTGGGGTCCACCACATGTGGGTCTACGCTGGATGAAGTATACAGGATAAATAAGAGTTATAATATTAGCTGATACGGTAGTTACAACTTGCATACATAGTCCCTTTTTCCATATTAAAAAGTTAACTGGCAGAATGATCAAATGTTGGCATTTGAAAAAATAAATTCTGATACTTTTCTTCTTTACAGACTACTTGCATGGAAAACTAGAGGAATATATAAAACAATTTTCTATAGTAAAAATAGTCAGACAAAAAGAACGAAAGGGTCTCATCACTGCGCGGTTGCTTGGGGCATCAGTAGCCACTGCCGAGACGCTCACATTTTTAGATGCCCACTGTAAGTACGTATGTGTTGATGAACTATAACATTTCTGCCCAATTCCTGTTAATTTAAAAGTCAATTTTCTTTAGATGATGAATTCCATTCTCTTGAACAGCATTTTTAACTGGTAACATCAATAACAAGCCAAACAGATAATGGCTCTGCATAAGAACTTCATGTACAGAACCCTGGCCTCTGCGTTTACAATGCTCTGCTTTCCCAGTGGGTCATTCTTGCTTGGAATTTTTTTTTTTTACCCCATGTATTTATTCTGTCCCAAGAAAAAGGAAAAACAAAAAGATATTTTTCTTTGCTAGTTTTGATTCCCACACTTTAAAAGTTTTATTTAGTATCCTCAGCCCTGTCATTCATTAAACTTTGTCCCAATGCTGCCACATTTTTTTTAACTTTGTATTTCAGTACTGCTGCTGAAGATTTGTGGACCCTATTGTGTCTAGTGGGGGGGGGAGGCATCATCTCACCTCTGGTGTCTCTCCATGAATATTGTTGCCTTTTATTTTTGTTGCTGTTTGAGTATTTATCTGTTTTAATTTTTTCAATGTCACTTTTTATAGTATTTAGAAAGTATTTTACAGTCTATGTGTAATGGATATGTTAGGTGTTAATAAACATTGCTTAGTCCCCAGAGCTGCAAGTTTTATGAATTTTACTCTTTATATGAATGCTTAGCTTTTAGCTGTACAGCTCTTAGATTACACTTGACCCAACAACTGGTTTTTGAGCATACACTAATTATTACAGAAAACTGTGGATTTCCTTGTGTTGTTGAGAGCCTTTGTATCCTGTGTTCCCTTACTCTAGCACTTGAAAAATGAATAGAGATCTGGAGAAATTTTTAAAAGGAAAAGCAGCTCTCTAGTATTTCCTTTTCTGGTCCTAAATTGCAATAAGATCTGACTGGGCATTTTTTCCCTTCTGGACAATGTGACTGATGGTACTTCTGGACCATAACTGCCAAATTTAACCCAATGATGAGCCTGAACTAAAATGTACTGTCTGACCTCACCTGTGTGATGTGGTACATCATGGATCAAGACTAGGATCCAGACCTTCATGGACTCCCTGTTCCTACTCCACTTCCATCAGGGTTACAGCAACTTTGAACAATCCTACTTATCCACTAAATTCAGAGCATTCTGAATTTGGCTTATTTTCTTTTAAGGCCCAAGGAGAAAAAATGAAGGTCTCAATTACTGTATCTTAGTTGGAGGAAAGGGAAAAAGTTTAAGTTAGAATTCTTTGGGGTTAAGTGGAAAAGTTCTCTTCATTCAGAGCCCATTCTTAAAGAGTTCCCATTTTAAGAGGAGCTACAAATGCATTAGTGTTCATTTGCCTATTATAGGAGAAAAAGATCATATTCTATAGGAATTTCTCCTAATTTTACTTTTCCTTTTTCATCTTCTCATCACAAGAACTTTTAAGAACGTTCTCCTTTAGAAGTCTACCATGTAGCATGGGGACTGCAATTAGTAATGTGCTGTATAGTTAGAAGTGGCTGAGTAGATCTTAGATATTCTCACCAACACAACACAGGTGATGGATCTCTTTAATTAGCTTGATCGTGGCAAATGTTTGACTGTGGCAGTGCATACACATACACACACACACACACACACACACACACACACAAAACATTTTGCTGTATCCAGGAATTACACTTTTTTTTACCTATTACAACTCAATAAAGCTGAAAAAAAAACCACCCATGTATGTATATTCACATGATTTTGTTCTAATTTCCCTATAAACTTTCATACAGACATTAAAGAAAAAAAAGATCTTCAGTGATCTCATTATGTTAGTATGAATTCCGGTTTTTGCAGGCGAGTGTTTCTATGGTTGGTTGGAACCTTTGCTGGCCAGAATAGCGGAGAATTACACTGCGGTGGTGAGTCCAGATATTGCATCCATAGATCTGAATACATTTGAGTTCAACAAGCCTTCTCCATATGGAAACAACCATAACCGTGGAAATTTTGACTGGAGCCTTTCATTTGGCTGGGAATCGCTTCCCGATCATGAGAAACAAAGAAGGAAAGATGAAACCTACCCAATTAAGTAAGATATTTTCTCTCAATGTCTTAGATTCACACATATGAATATGTATAAGGTCTGATTTTACAGCAGCGGCCTCCAGGATAATTCTTTAAAAGCAATTTCTTTTGATTGATTTTTTAAAATTTTATGTGTATGGGTGCTTTACCTGCATGTATATAAGTGCACCCATGTTGTGCAATGTCCCTGGAGGTCAGAAGAGGGCTTTGCATCTTCTGGAACTGGAGTTCTAGACGGTTGTTAGCTGCTATATGGGTCCTGGTACCTGAACCCAAGTTGTCTGCAAGATCAGACAGTGCTCTTACTGTTGAGCCATCTCTCCAGCCTCCATTCATGATAACAATAAGCAGAAAAGCAGACGTTCAGTATATACCATTGTAATATACTTCATTTAGTCACTTATGCATGTTATTACCAAAATAAAATTAGGTGAGTTCTTTCATCTTCCTCATAAATTATCCTTTAAGAATGTTAAAGCAGATTAAGAAATGACACAATAATCTGGGAGAGGATGCTTTTAAAGCACTTATCTCCCCCAAAGCCCTGACTTTGAAGAGAACATTTTTAGTTCTAATTCATCTATATAAAAGATTTTAAATTGTAATCTCTCTTTACTGATAATGTCAATTCAGTTCTTTAAACAGGCCATTTTAAGTTTTATAACAAACTGTGGTGATGTTTTATTTTTCAGAACACCCACATTTGCAGGTGGCCTTTTTTCTATATCAAAAGAATATTTTGAGCATATTGGAAGTTATGATGAAGAAATGGAAATCTGGGGAGGTGAAAATATAGAAATGTCATTCAGAGTAAGTTTATGGAGATTAAGCATAGCACACGTGTGATATACTGTGCTCTAATTAGCTGGTACACATTATTTCAGATGTGTGCCCTCTTTTGTGCTTTCCAAAATTTATAGCTGGAAATTCATCAGTGAGACCATTTCCCTTTAAATTGTAACTTGACATATTTATTCATGGTTGCCTGTGTAACAAGAGGAATCAGTTAAACTCCTGTGTCCAGGCAATAACACCAATTAATGCACTTGTAGCTGCTGAATTCCAGCCAAGATAAATATAATTAAACTGAGTGCTTCAGGAAATGAGTTGATTATCAAGAGAGTCAGTATGGAACAACATTTATTTATAACTTTAAAGGACATTAGTCTTAACGCTTTGCATTGTAGGAGCTGTTCTTTTCCTCTGTGTAAGTTAATTTAACAAAACATAAGACTTTGGATAGTCATAGCTTGTGCCTTATTTATTTGATTTTTGTGAGTTCCTTTTTGTGGGCAGTGTATCACTCACCTTTTGTCCTTTCGATTGGAATGTATTGGAAAAATAACTAGGAATTAGAAGATTTATGTTGTGGCTCTGGCCCCATAGCAGTCTGGCAATAATGATCTTAACCTCCTCTGGACTGCTTCAGGGCAGGGGTTTTTTTAAATTTCTCTCAATGTTTCCAGCCCCTAGCACATGCTGGATTTCAAGCACAGTTTGTTGAACTGGGTTCAAGCCATGTCACTGGGTTCTCTCATTGCTTAAATGAGAAACGAGGTTGTGACCACTTGCCTCAATTAAACACGAGGTTTTGTTCAGATCTTTTGCATACTGGTTGGTTGGGTATGGCAGAACTAATTGTTAAAACATTTTAGTTAGAACTACTGAAAATACATTTTAGACACATTCTAGATAGGCGTGGACTTTTTAATATAATGAGCAACTACTTAAGATATAACATTGTATTTTGGCAATAATGGCTTTCTTGAATACTAAATTGAGTATCCAAAAGGGAAATAGAGTCTGGATCCTGCTAGTTCATTTCTTAGAAGAAGTAGCTGCGGTTTCAGTAAGTGACCACATCAGCTGTGTAAGGGGGAAGTCGTACACAGAGTCTGGCTCTGCTCTTGCATAGGAAAGAACTTGCGTCATGGTTTGAAAAAAAAGGGAAAAATGGAAGAAAATTTGGAACTCATTTTATGAAAGATTAAAAAATTATTCTGTTGTAAGCCTACTTTTTGCAGATTTGTTTTCTTTACTTTTTCACAGTATTTAATAAAACCAATCTTTACATTTATAGAACTTAAGCTGAACTGATACAGAGACTATCTGTAAAGATACAATAAATCTCTTCCTTACATTTTCATTTTTGTTAATATCTTAATGGTAAACTTAAAGCAAGTTTGATTTTTCCCCAAATACCGTCAATTTAAACCAATATCATTGATTGTCAGGTATGGCAATGTGGTGGGCAGTTGGAGATTACGCCTTGCTCTGTTGTTGGACATGTTTTCCGCAGCAAAAGCCCTCATAGCTTTCCAAAAGGCACGCAGGTGATTGCGCGCAACCAAGTTCGCCTTGCAGAAGTCTGGATGGATGAATACAAGGAAATATTCTATAGGAGAAACTCAGAAGCAGCAAAAATTGTTAAACAAGTAAGTGAAAACAAAATCATTAAATGACAATGAAAAACGACCCCACATTCTCATGCCCTTTTGCTTGACTTCATATCTGTGCAATGGCTCAGTGAGTAAAGGTGCTCAGCACACAAATGAACACATGCACATACACACATATATGTAAGGTATGGATGTCAGTTTTGTGTCTTAAAATTTAACCAACAGCTTTATAAAAATTTTGGCATTTAGTCTTCTAATATGAAACATGCCTTGTTTTTGCTACTCAAGAAATAAATAAAATAAAAATAAATAAAATAAAATAAAATAAATAAAAGGATTAAGTAGAACTGCCTTTAACTGTTTTCAGGAGATATATTAACACCTAAGTAGAGATTCTAAGTGGTTTCTTGAGTTGTATGTGTAGACAGGGTCTACTGTGGCATAAGAATATACCAGAAGTACCAAGGCTTTTATTTCTCACATCCCAGCTCCTGGAATTACATCAGACAAATCCCCTTTAAGAATGCAAAGGGGAGCTAGGTGTGGTGGTGAACGCGTTTGATCTCAGCACTTAGGCTGAGGCAGGCTGTGGATCTCTGTAAATTCAAGGACAGTGTGGTCTACATAGTGAGTTCCAGGCCAGCTGGGACTATAGGGAGACCCTGACTTGAAAAGACCAAAAAAAAAAAAAAAAAAAAAAACCCCAAAATAAAAAAGGAATGCAAAAGGGGGCTTCATGGTGTGATTACCATACACTCCTGTACACTCCCGTTTCCCTGACTGGCTATGAAATAGGGAAGTGATAAGTACCAGCAAACTTAGGATATGTGTGTGTGTGTGTGTGTGTGTGTGTGTGTGTGTGTGTGTGTGTGTGTGCACGTGTGCATGTGCATGAGTGCATGTGTGTGCTGGTGGGTGGGGGCACTAGTAATGTGGTACAAGTGTACATACAGGCCAGAGGTCAACTTCAGTTAGTTTCTTCGGGTTCTATCCACTTTGTTTTCTGAGACAGGGTCTCTTATTGATCTGGGCTCCCCCTATAAGGCTAGGCTGGCTAACCCCCTGGAAAGCTTCCCCAGCACCTAAAGCACTCACCTCATGCCTGCCTCTTTTATTTTTTTTTTTAATGTGGGTTCTGGGGACTGAACTCAGGTTTTTATGCTTATGTGACTGAGCTATCTCCCCAGCCCCTAAAAACTCAATACTGTTCTATTAGACCTGTTCACTCTGTATCATGGCAGTACATTAGAGCTGAGTCCCAGCAGCTCTATAGTGGAGCCATAAATTAACCAACAGTTAAGGACATGCTTCAGTAAATGATTCCAAACTTTTTATGGCAAACAGTGCTCGTTTGGAGAAGAGTGTTTCCTGAGAGTCAAGGGTAGCTGCATTTTGACTGTTAAAGACAGATCTGATTACTGATTTCTTAGGTCTCTGGAGTCTCCCTGTAACAACAGTAGGATGCAAACTCAGAGCACTACTCCAGGTTAGATTGCTTTTTGCCCAAGGTGACTAAGACAAGCTGGGCAGATTCTGTACCGTGTACAGCACTTGGCTGAGCAGGCAAGTGGGTGCCAAACAAAGCATATGTTCTGCTGTCACCCATAGAGGGGACAGTGAAATGAGCCAGAAAATACTTGTCCTCAGTACAGGGCACATACCTGGTAAAGTACCTAAGTCCTAAAGAGTCATTCCGTTTTACTAAAACATCTGAGTTCAGGAACCTTAAAGTTAGCATAAGAAAATATTTTCCTTGGTTGAACTGATAAGCTTGATTATTTACTTTTCAATCCATTTAGGTATCAAATGTAATTTTTTTCTAAATGAGTGCCTATAAGCCAAATACTTTTTCAGTTTAATGTGTTTTTTAAGTGCTTTCGTTGCCCTTTAAAAAAAAGGTAATAAAATACAATTAACTCAAAATTGACTTTTTCAACTAAAGGTTCAGTTGGAGAGTAAAACCCTTAAATGGAAAAAAAAAAAGTTCCTTGGGAGCTGATATGCTTTACAGATTTGAATGCAGAGAGATGTGCTGCACATTGGTACTGTGTGTCTGCACGTTTCCTCATGCTTCGCTGTGCAGATCATCTTCAAATATTAAGTTGGACGAGCTCAAAATGCTGTCACATCCAGTTCTGTGCCCATAGTTTTTTGATAGACATCTTTGGTCTGTAAATGTTCTGCCTACAAATAGAGTATTACATCCTCTGGCCAGTTCTCCAGTGTGACTTGATTCACAGAAACCACCAATGACCAGGCAAGTGGACATACTTGTTACCTAAATGAATGGTGCATACTTTTAATTACATCTTGCATTTGGATCCAAGATTTCACTTAATGTCTAAATGTGAATAAAAATATCACCCTTTGGGGCTGGAGAGATGGTTCAGTGGTTAAGAGCACTGGTTGCTCTTGCAGAGGACCAGGGTTCTGTTCCCAGCACCCAGAGGATGGCTTACAGCTTTCTGTAATTCCAGCTCTAGGGAATTCGACTCCCTCTTCTGATCTCTGCAGGCACTGCACACATAATAGGTATATGTGTGTGTGTGTGTGTGTGTGTGTGTGTGTGTGTGTGTGTGTGTGCATGTGCACATGCAGGCAAAAAATACATACACATAAAATAAAAATAAATCTTTTTCTAAAAAATTACATGCTTTGAAGCATTTATCAGAGTTGTTTTGACCAAGCATTCCCTTTATTACTTCATCTTTTCTAGAAATCATTTGGTGATCTTTCAAAAAGATTTGACATTAAAAAACGCCTTCAATGTAAAAATTTCACATGGTACCTGAACACTGTTTATCCCGAAGTATATGTGCCAGACCTTAATCCTGTTATATCTGGATATGTGAGTATTTTTCTGCTTCCCCCTTTTGCTTGATACACTCCTTTTCATTATGATTTTGTATCGTTTTTGAGGTTTTATGCTATTCTTAGCATTACTTCCCTTAAATTAATGCTTTTTGTAATTTGAAATGTTTCATTTAGATTAAGAGTGTTGGTCAGCCACTATGTTTGGATGTTGGTGAAAATAACCAGGGAGGCAAGCCACTGATTCTGTATACATGCCATGGCCTCGGGGGAAACCAGGTGAGCTGCCTGAGACTTGTGTGAGCACTTATAGTTAGATTGCTGCGTATCTCTCTGAGGTAACAGCTCAGTGTGGTACTCAGGTAAACTGGTGTGTAAGTGTTTTTAGCCTAAGCATGGCAAGTAATACTGAAGTTGTGGAGTACTTTATTTTAGTTTTTACTTTGACTCTGAAAATAAATTTGAAACTTTTTTGCTCA